AACAAATCTAGCCGCTAGACCAAAAAAAGTGTAACATTGAAAAACGACACCAAAAACTTTTTTACTCACTGCGCCAGAAGGAGGGTTATGTTTTTAGAGAGTATGTATGTATAATTGTTTGGCACGCTCTAAAGCCTGAACAGCTTGATAAATTTTAGCTTGAGAGGTGTCGTTAGATCGATTCAGCTGGCTGTCAATTTTAAAATATTTATTTGAAATTTTAAATATGCTTTTTTATTTTATTTAATCATTACTTAATGTATTACTTAATGTATGGATACACATACTGTGTTTGTATCACAAAAAAGAAATAGCAGAACGAACTCCGTTCCTTCCGCGTGTCCATAAGACAACTCTATTTCTTTTTTTATTATTTAGAAAATATGGTCAAATCAATCAGGTACGAGTCTGAGCCACCTGCGTCCATCGAATTCCCGCACATTTGCACAGGCCGTCACACCATCTAGTGGGGAGTCGTCCTACGCTACGATGGCCAGTACGAGACTGCCACTCGAGAACCTTTCTTTAACAACAGTTATCGGTTCTACGAGCTATATGGCCGGTCCATCGCCACTTCAACTTGCTAATCTTCTGAGCTATATCAGTTACCTTGGTTCTACTACGGATGTCTTTACTAACTCTATCACGCAAAGAAATACCGAGCATAGCCCGCTCCATAGCTCGCTGAGCGACTTTGAGCGTGAAGGACAACGTCTCGGTTCCGTAGATCATCACTGGTAACACACATTGATTGAAGACTTTTGTTGGACTTACCTGAACGGATTAACTGTCCTAGGTAAGCGTACTCGTTAACAACTTCGAGCTCAGTTCTCACACCAACGACCGCTATAGGCGTGACATGGACATGAGACATGATCTTCGTCTTGTCCATGTTCATCATAAGGCCCACCCGTTGGGAGACACTGTTGATGTCATTGAGCATAGTACCAAGGTCCTCCAGCGATTAAATCATACTTCGTAGCAGTCTTTGGGGGAAGCTTTGTTCAGCAGTGGACTCAAACAGGCTAAAATGATAATGATGATGAATATTCAGGTTTCTTTACCATGCTTTCAAAGTAAGCACATTAAATAACCAATTTCATTGGTGCCGGCACCGTGGATTGAACTCAGGTTGCTCAAATATATTGAATTAAATAAAAGCGAGCGCCCGGATATCACAGCGCTAATAAAATATATATTTTTAAGTATACAATATAATATAAAAAATCAAGGACAGTTTTCTATAAATAAGAGTATTGTTTTAAACCAACTCGCAGGGTATTGAATTGAAAGAATTATAAAATTTAACTTTTATTTATCAGTAATACTACTACCTTCCCCCTCTTCCTTTATGTCTTTTTCTGTCGAACAAATTAACTTATTGTAATGTCAGTGGCAATATGCATTTATTTAGACCAATGGCGGGTTTACAAATTTGCCGCTAATAGGCTGTTCAATTTTTGCCACGCATACTGATTTCTGAAATTCGAAACCCTTGTTCGTAATCATATTAATTGTATTTATTCTGTAAATAAAAGTACAACTTTTTTATTTGTGCTCTATCATCTTCATTACATCAATTTAAAACCCGAAAAATAATTTTTGGGTATATTTATGAGCTAAAGAAAGCTGTGTGTTCTAATTATAAGACTTCTACGTGTTATAAATGAAACTAATTTTACGGATTTATCGCGTTTATTTTTAATTTTAATGGTCACGGGACAGACCATGAACGCTGTAAAGGGTTCGAAACGTCGGGAATTAAAACTAAAAATAAACGCGATAAATCCGTAAAATTAGTTTCATTTATAATGTGTAATCGCGTAAATACAAGAAATTATTAGACTTCTACGTGTCTAAAGTTGTGATTAAACGTAGAATCCTATATATTTCCTTAATCATTTAACTAAGTCTTCTGGTACTGCGGTATAGAAATTAGATCGTCGTGATATCCCATCAGAAGCATGTTACCTATTTTTTTTACCTACCATATGTATATCTATAAGAAGTTATAATTTTAATAGTAATTTTCACTTTCGTTTCAATATGTGTACTCTTATTTTAGTACCACCTACACAAACTCTTAGTACAAATAATTAAAAAAAAAATTATTTCTTAAAGATGCGTAAAAAATTGTAAATAATAAGAAAGTTCATTCGCCGTAATGTTAAGAATTTTAGTTTTCAATGCAGCATTCCGCATTGCTTGGTTTGCTGCACCTCAGCAGTTATGTTTAGAGAAGCTTTTTATTCGCAAGTCTTGTCGTTGAGGCATTTCTATTTTACCGCATAACTGACACAACCTCGTTCTTACACGCCATACGTATAATTTACTGATAATGAATACGAAAATGAGCACAAATCACAAAAGACACTGCCGCTTCATAGCTGTAAAACAAACGAAAAATAAAAAAGCCTCATTCTTGTCAGTTAACGCAGCCCGACTTCGGGAAATCTTTCATTCAACCAGTCTTTAGTCCCCGCCAGCTAATTTTACACAAGCAACTCGGAAAATGCGCCAACAGTGATGCGCTGAGCTGCGAATGAAGAACGATAAAATTGAAATAAAATAAAGGTTCAAGCTTGGGTTTAAACATTTAAAGTTGCTTATTTTTGGCAAGCAAGAGCCTCGTTACAAATGAAAATCAGAACAAGGTTTTAAGTTAGATAGCAGAATATTTCCTAACCATTTATTTATTTTTTAAATTTTCAGAAAACTTACTTAATCATTTATTTTTCCAAATGGACTGTCAACTTTGAATTTGTTTATAATAGTCCCCTATTATTGACGATAATTCTTAATTTTAGAAAGAAACGCACGGGTAAATTAACATTTCCCAAAACCCACTAAAACCCACTTCTTGCAGTTAAATATTTTCATACTATATATGTATTATATCAACTTTACTTATTTTCTTTTTGCAAAATTCTGTCATTAAGTTTTGTAAATATAATATGTGTTTGTAAAAAGTATATTAGTATAATATATCAAAAATTAGGTATTTTATGAGTATTAATTTACAAAAATATAAAGCTTATATGAACGTAACAAAGAGAGGGTTGCAAATTTGGTGCGGTAAATTTAAATTACAGGGCTCCCTAAATTTTGTGGATGAAGTCACGCTTGCGCTGTTTTTAATTAACAAGCGAGTATGTGTATAAGAATATGAAATGAGATAATTTGTGATAATAAATAAAGTACTTGTTTAAAAAGATTCAACAAGAAGCAAAGACTTGTAACATTCCGTACGTTACAGTCCAATGGCATAAGAAACTTCATCGATAGCGAGTGTAAGACTGTTTTGTTTCTCTCGTTCCGTCTATCGAATATAGTAATCTACTAGATTTGAGATATCAATCGTACTGTTGCAGATCCGCCAACTTCGCCGCCCGTACCTGCGCTTTCTAAACTACTGCACTATTATTCTTGTTACAGAAAAGATTTATTGTTAAACTGTTCCGTTCAAATATAAATTAGATTTAAGGTAAAACAATCGAATAAACTGCTTATCTCTTGGAACAACAGAGCCGTAGATAGTTTCTTACCATGAAACAAATTTAGTATAAGGACGTTTTAGTAACGTTTAGTTCCAATTATTATTGCATTAAACTATAAAAGATTTGTTATACACTTTACTATAAATATACTAGAATCTATGTATTTTAATTGGGCAGACAGTACCTTAATTATCTTTTACGAAAAGTAAGCTGAAAAAAATACGTGTGAGTTGAATCGGACTTTACCTCACATACTTTTAAACATTACCTACTGATACGTTTATTAGGTAACACGTAGCTTCTACGAGTATCACACAATAATTTCTATTAACTTGAAAGTACTAATAATAAATTATTTATTTCCCAGAAGCTGCATTTCAGTTCACCGTAACAAGAAAACTGCAAAATGATTCAGGTGGATAATTTCAAACGCTCATCTCCTTCACCATCGCGATGCTCAGTTCGAAGCGACAGCAGAGTTTTCAGACAACCTCGCGTGATTCAAGTAAATAGGGACGCTGCAACGATGATGGACGATGAAAATAACGTAGCAGGTGGCGCTACTAGCTCCGAAGAAACCGGCGCTGCAGAAAACTGGGATTCTCGCGCAGGTCATAACTCAACCCAATTCCGATCACGAACCTTTAGCGATGGGTTCATTAGAAACACCAGTCTAGAACTTCTCCTCGGAGTTGAATGTGAGGCTTGCCTCGCTTTAGCGGCCCAACAACAATGTTTAAATAACCAAGTGTCGGAACACGAGTTCGATTTGGTATGCAATTGCAACGTTCAACAAAATAATTATTTGAATTGCCGTCGGGACGTGTTGAAACAAAGAGGCCACACATTAAATATTTACGACCTGGAAAGAATTAAACGTGACACTGGAAGAAACCACCTAGGAAGCGGATCACACAGAAGTTTGGATAGGAAACACAACAAAGCTAAGACTATTGGTGTTTCAAGTTACATTTCAAAACAGTTCGTATCCTACGATCCAACCAATACTTTCATGCAAAAAATAAAGAAAAAGTTATCTAACTTTAAAAAAATAGGGGGTGAGACAGTATCGAAAAAACATCAAAATGGGGTTCAGCTTGCTGAGATAACATCAGCCTCGACGAGCTCCCTAAGAAAATTGTCTATGTTGTCACTTGTAGACAAGTCTCAAAGGAAACTTAATAATCAAAGCAGAACTTTTTCATCATTGAGTATGATGCAATCCAAAGAAGACTTGAAAAATAAAGCAACTACTTATGCCAACTTCTCTTCGAATGTTGATCAATGCTTCGATAGACTAAGAGATTATCCTGACAGTGCAGATACCAGCGCTGGATCACATAAAGTAATGAAACTAAAAAATTTTGATACGAATGTTGATATGATATCAAGACATTCACCGATTCGCGAAATAAAAAAGTTTTCCACTCTTGATAATCGTAGTCGATGCCGTAGTATTAGAAGGCAGATGTCATATAATGACTTTGCAAGTGAACGTTGCAGAGACAGAGTTTCAATAGATTCGTGGTCAAGAGACGATAACATATTCGAGTCTAGAAGTACTACGAATGACATAATAGACGAAGATGGACAATCTTTTGAAAATGCTGACACAACATTGAGAAACATCCCACAGTCTGTACACGCCCAATGCACATGTAACTCTAGGCGAGACAACAGAATTCATTCAATATTTTATGATACCCAAGTAAGTAAGAGTTGTCCTTTACTTTTAAATGTAACATTTAAACTATATCTAGTATTTAAACCATTACTTCAAATAAGAATTATTTAACAATTAACTTGTTGCTGTAGCAATTAACATTTTTTTATGTGAGACGGTGGCAATCGAGCTGCCGGTTCACTTGTTGTGAAATGATAGTCGCCTCCCATGGATATTTGCAACAACCGTAGGCCACCTTTTAAGAAAGTGGGCTCTAGTTACCTAACTCACTAGACGAAACGCAGAAGTATACCACTTCAACGTCACTCCGATCTTCTGTGAGGTTCGTGGTTCTTCCCCGGACGGACTTGCTCCTTCGTGCAACAGAAAAGACTGTTGTTGCGTGGCCGTACCATAGTTGCATTAAATATAAATTAATTAAACAAAGTAGCTTTGCCGGTGGTAGGGCCATGTAGCAGCCTCGGCAGTAAGTACCACAACCTCACAGAAGACCAGCGTAAAGTGGAAGTATGACAAATACTTTCGCGTTTCGTCTGGTGAGTGAGGTAGCCGGAGCCCAATTTTCAAAAGGTTGTCAACGTGTCAGTAACCCTCGGGTGTGGCAGATATCCATGGGCGGCGGTATTCACTTAACATCAGGTGAACCCTCTGCTCGTTTGACAACTTTTCGCATACAAAAAAAGCAATATAAATAGATAAATACGTGATGTGAAAGAGTCATCAATAAATCTTCTAATATCTATAAATCGTACCTCCAACATAATTATTTCTTATTAGAATGTGACTAACGATTCAGTATTTACAATAACAGTTATTACCTGCCTTTTGTTTTTATTTATTGTTTTTTTAGTTGTAACTTTCTTAAAATATCTATATTCGTTTTTGTAATAACTTGTTAGTAGTTTGGTAAATGTTAATAACTTTAAGTTTGTCGTAATTGAATTAAAATAAATTTTAAACAATAGAGAAAAATCACTAATGAATTTATCAACAAGCAGAATTCAGCGGTCGCTTATGGTTTTCGAAAAAATAAATAATGAAATAATGTGATTTTCACTATAGAAATCCGCCATTTTTTTTGTTGTCAATGTGTCAATTTTTAGGTGGTCATAAAAAAAATAATCACGAAGGTTAAGGCGGGAGCTCCGTTGGAGCTGGAGATCCGCTCCCGCCTGAACCTAATCTGAGTCGGATTCGCTCTGTGTCGGTTCTGTGAGTCATTAAATTTAAAAAAAAATCGAACTATCTATACGAGCACGATGTCGCCCGCTTCCTATATTTATCATGTTGGCAGAACTGTATTATTCTGTAGAATTCTGCTTGTTATCAACATTATCATAATTCACTATTGAATTTTCTCTATCGTTTAAAATTTATTTTAATTTAATTACGCCAAAGTTAAAGTTATTTACGTTTGCCTATTTTACCTTTTGTGCTGTTTATAACATTTTTGAACTATTAATATTAGTTGAAGTATACATAAATACATTATAAGATTTTTTTCATAAAACACATTATGTTTTAAAATAGAACCCCTTCTGTCTCTGCTAGAATCATAATTTGTCAAACTGAGTCAGCTTATAAAATAAGGGAATCTTTAACGTTTTTAAAACCGAACAGTTAACCAATAGTCTCAATATAAAGATTGACAAGAAAGATTGATTCCTTGAACATATAAACGGAAAGGGGTCAAGTATTTAAATATTAAAAGTAGAATGTTCAGCAATTGAACTCATACATTACAAATGACTTCTTTACCTCAGATAATTCAAATATTGGCTTAGACTCCGACTAAAAAAATACTTAAAAATCTTCTTTTTCTTGAACATGTTGGAAATTATGAATTTTAAACTTTTAAGAATTCCTCTTTTAAGATTTTCCGCGGAATGTAAATATCAGTCTTATTTCGTACCTCAGTTGCACGTATAATTTAACACGTTTATTTGAAAAAAAAAGTGCTGCAATTTTAGGGAGTAATAATTTTATAGAGTAAGAAACGTTCAGCACCAGCTCCTGACGTAACCGAACGTGGACAAAATGGCCGAGGGCCTACTTGCGTTGTTTGCAAGGCTTCGCAGTGGGTCCCCACCGGTACAACTTCAACGACCAGCCATAGTTCGACAGCAACAGCAAACTCCTCACGTAAGTCTATTTCAAGGCATATTACACGTGGAATTGTTGTATTCGGACTAGTGCTGTAGTAATTGTACTTTATTACATTGAAAGAGTGTCTACAGTCAACTGATGAAAAAAATTATTAAAAACCAATCGATTGTCATAAACAGTAATGATGTCAAAAATTGGTATTAATTATTGCATATTAATAAATATCTTACGTGTCAAGCAGCTCAGAACCTTTCGATCTACGGACCATAGATGTCGATTATTTATTAGGAAATTGCGAGAGGCAACGACTATTAACACGGCCTAATTTTGAAAAAATAAATAAATTTCGTTATCACTGAACTATGAAAAATCTCTTTATCTTAGGTTTCCGTCAATATAACATAGCAAAAGATCCATGAATTTTGGCGGTGTTTTATTACATTCCAACCAAACATTGTTTAATTTCTCCTCGGCTTAATGCAGCTATAATCAATAACAAGATAAATAAGCCATTAATATCGCTACCTTTTTCCTTGACATCATGCCAGTGTTAATTAATTCAAGGATGTTTAATTTATGAGGTATGCCGCCGCTGATTGTATTGCGTACGACTTTAGGCATTGATTGCGTGAAATCTTTACATTTTCATGTAAGCCCTTTATTGTTAACGGATTCTTACAATAATTTAAGTGAAGGAAAAGTCGTGAGGAAATCTGCATATTTTCGAAATAATAAGAAATAGAGTATATTTCGAACATATATGAAGCCCTACCTTTATACCTTTTACTCAGCCATGGGACATGTATGTTATTTTACTTTTTTAAGAAATTATATAATACTTATTCGTTTTGCACCTAATAAAAAAGTTATTTAAACAAAGAGGTGATACAAACGAACGTCATTAAGCTTTAGTAATTATAAAAATAAATGTGAAAACACATTTAGGTCATACGATAAATACTTTTAAGATTTTATAAACAATTTATTTTAGTCATGAATGTTCAGTAAGTACAATAGTAAACGTTAAGACATGATACATTTAAACATATTTTTGAGTTCCGCCTAAACAATTCTGTATCGAAATCAACAAAACTTATATATAAGTATATTTAAAAGAGTTATTTAGAACTTACTTTTTTGAACGCCGTTATAAAATTGAACTTTTATGACTCCGTGTAGCCGCAACTTTCTTTTTATTTCATCAGGGTTTTCAATCTGGCATCGCCGTTGGTGCTGTGTGGCCATTTTGGTATTAGTTGCGGGTACCGCTTGCGTGGCTGGACCGTTAGCTCTGCGTGCACCACCCGGAGCACCCCTACATGAGCGACTCCGCCTCGCCGAGAGACTCTTGCATGACACTCCGCTTATAGATGGTCACAACGACTTGCCTTGGAACATTCGAAAATTTTTGCACAACCGAATCAAAGACTTCAGGTTAGTTTTGGTATTATATTTATTCAAATTCACGTTGTAGCTGTTCATAATTTTTTTCATTAATCACAATATTAATAAGTAAGAATATTAGATAAAGAGCAATGATAATATGTGAAATCATGTTACCTAACAAATAATCGAGACCATTTTGAAACGTAAATTTTTTAAAGGCAACTTCAAATATAAATAATTTATAATTTATTAAGGCTGCATAGTTGAAATCGGTCATATTGACTATTTATTTTAGTCCATCTTTGTTGTATTTAATATGAGGAAATTATAATTTATGATAATAATTATGGTCATCATCTTTGAATTTAAAGGGCTGCACTTCATGTTTGCCTGCACTGCAGGTTTGATGTACCCGAGGGGCCAGGTGTTTCGTATTGATCATCTTTATCATCATTGTGACTTGATTCGCTTCCGCTATCACTTTGCGATTGAAAGATAAACGGCTCGTTTAAATAGCCGTCTTTTATCTATATATAATTATAAAAGTGAATGTATGTGTGTATATATGTTCATGTAAAAGTCGAGAACCATGAGCCCAAGTGATATGAAAATTAGCACATATGTATAGCAAAGTCAACATTACCAATCCGACGAACATTATTACGGAAGTACCGGATAGGTGGAGCCGGTGACAGTGATTTTTATGTTTTAAACCATAGGTCGAATTGATATACTGTTACACGTAAGATTTGTCTAGGTGAAGCGAAATGCAACGGGCACCAGCTATATTAATTTTCTTTTGATAATTGCAATGATTTTTCCACATGGAGTTATTTTTTTATGTGAGAAGGTAGCAAACGAGCTGGCGGTTTACCCGATGTATAGTAATAATCGTCCATTATTTGCAACACCCAAAGGACTGCAGATGCTTTGCCACCCTTTAATAAAGTGGGTCCCGGCTACCTCACTCATCAGACAAATCGCAGAAGTATAACACTTCCACTTGACGCCGGTCTTCTGTGAGTTGAGAGAATATTCTCACTTCAGAAAACTGTCAGCGGAATAACATTTCATAATGAGGGCTTGTAGTTCCAATATTGTCAACTATACAGATAAGTACGCACTAACTATATTTAGTGAAAACATTAATGATGTTGCTAATCGCTTCACTAATCGTATTACTTCTAAATTGCTAATGCCTACCATACTTGCTAATGCCGGTCCTCATATATTACATGAAACAGAGTCATAATCGTAATTTAAAAAAATAATTCATAATTATAAATTAATGATCAGCTGTTTTAACGTAGGTAAATATTCAACATTGTCCACATCGTCATAGTATTCCCAATTCCCATTGCTGTAATGAAAAAGAGAAACAAAAATCTTAAATATCACTATAAAATATTGTTTGCATCAAGAAAAATCATTCTGTTACAACTGGCATCATTGACTTTCTTATCGCGTCTTCAAGACATAAAGCGTACGTGCATATAAACCAGGCCTATAAATGAGAGGAAATTTCGTTTTTGAGACAGTTATCGCTTTATTCAAATTCTTTAATACTAAACTTCTTACTACTTCTTCTTAAAAGTTAATGCACGTAGAATAATTAATCAATAATGAAGTAATAAAACTCTTACTTAGTGGAACCACGCAATACCCTCTGCTATTTTGTATTACCAAATACCAATTACCATACAGAATTTTATAATTCCAGAGTAAGTACATTGCTTTTAAAATTACTACCAAAAATGAGGTTAATGATGTTTTCACTATTCTTGTCGTACATGACGACAGTTACAATAGTTTTTACCGTTTAGGTGGACTCGTATTTTACTCGTATCATACAGTTTTGAACGACAATGTTCATATATGTATTTATTTTATACATATTACCATTCAAAATAAATATTTTATATATATATATATATATATATATATATATATATATATATATATATAAAATATTATAGGTTATTAGAAGACGTGTAATTTGTCTGTCTTTGACCTTTGCTTTGTAATCTTGATAACAAATTTTATAATATGTATACAAAACTTTTAAATACAAGTAAAATACGATAATTTAAAATATGACTCAAACATTTGAATGATGAACTAGTATTCTGTAAATGAAGAATGAATTTGAATAGCAGTGAATAAATTATCATGTGCTATAGTGGGGTCACTTCCATTTTAGTAGCGAAAGCTGGTAGCGTCAGTAAAAGGTTAATAAATTCATCATTAAATTGGGGTTATAAAAATATAATCCTAATTTAATGATGAATTTTTATAATATTTATAAGTACCTTTACATATTAAACACTGATATACTTACCATAAATTAAACTATAAAAATAACTAGTTACATGGTTTACTTCTAGTTAGACCTAAATTTTATAAAATAGACATTTAGAATGTAATGAAAAATCTTAAATGATAGAAAATACTGATCTTAGCAGTAACAGTTACAAAATGTTGAAGATTTTATTTATAGTAACTGCTACATTTACCGTTGTTGCAATACATATAGTTTATTTTGGAAAATCCATCGTGGCTGATGTAACGTGATATTTCTTTACTTATTAATTAAAATAACACACTACCTATTAAATTAATAACATAAACATTGAATAGACAAGTCGTTTTATTTTTATTGATAGATTGCATTAGTAATAGATTCTAATCACAAGAAATCAAAATATTGTGTCCCTTCCAAAGAAGTCATACTCCTTTTGATTATCATCCAATACGATGATTATTAGGGAATAAGAAATAATTTAAAACATTTTTTCGTTTATAAAATCTTACAGTTGTCTACTCCATAATATCAACATTTCTGTTTGACAAAGAAGAAAAATTTAGAGCTCTAATAACGTGGATAAAACATGTTTGACTCGTATGGAAACAAAAATACGTGGTTGCATCAAAAATTACAAATGAGTTGCGACGTGACACTACACACACGCGGTGTTCTTCCCACTCGGCTTAGTTGCAAGCTAGCAAGTACTGTCTTTGCCCGGGTGAATATCCTTGTGTTGCACGACTTATTTCAAAACAGCTCGAAATTTGCAAAATGAAAATCAACTTATTTTGAGTGTGAGAGAGATTTGTTTTTTTTTTTAAATTACTTACGGTACGGGCTGTTTAAAACATACTGTAAAGTTTCTTAGAACTAAAACACATTAATAATAATAATAATAAAGCCTTGTTTATTCCTTAATAGAAAAATTACATATTGTGATATTTAATACAATTCGAAAATTTAAAATAAAATAGAATTGATTAAATTAATTAAATTTAATTAAAACATATAAATTAAATAATAAATTAAATATAAATTAGCAATAATAAAAACATGAATTAAAATTGATAAAATACAAATAGATTTAAATAATTTACATTAAAAATAAAATAAATTGCAAAAAACTAATCACTATTATTAAGGACCTCTCTACAGAGTAAAGGCCTCCTCCATTTTTCTCCACTTATTTCTGTCTTTTGCTATTTCCATCCAGTCATGTCCCACTGTTTTCAGTATTTCGTCGAGCCACCTCTCCATTGGTCTACCTCTTTTCCTGATGGCCCTTTCCAAGTGGTTATCTTCTTTGTCCATCTGTCGTTGTTCATACGTGCAACATGGCCAGCCCATTTCCATTTTAGTTTTTTACAGTGTTGTAGAGCATCTATAACTTTAGTTGTATTTCTCACATATACATTTGTCCTTTTATGTTTCAATTTTATATTTAGAGTGCTCCGCTCCATGGCTCTTTGGGTGGTGTGTATCTTATTTCTAGTGTGTCTGTTGAATATCCATGTTTGTGATGCATAAGAAAGATAAGGCAGTACACACGAGTCTAGAACTTTCTTCTTTAGTCTTACAGGAATCTTTGACTTAAGAACTTCTTTAAGACTCCAAAATTTGTTCCAGGCCATGTTCACACGTCTAGTCAGTTCATCTCGGTGTCTAGATCTTTTGAAAGATAATTGCTTGCCTAGATAAATGTACTCTTCAACATAATCCAAAGGACCGTTGTCAACGCTTATGGGTATTTTTTTGTTGTTTGTCATTGTTTTTGTTTTTGTTGTGTTCAGTTGCAAGCCAATTTCCTGGCTAACCGCATGTAATTCTTTGACCATAACTTCAAGTTTTGATGCACTTTCTGCAAAGAATACAATATCATCTGCGAATCTTAGGTTACTTAAATAATTTCCGTTTATGTATATCCCTTTGTTTTCCCATTTCAGATTCTTCATAATGTTTTGTAGTACGGTTATAAATATTCTGGGTGACAAAGGGTCACCTTGCCGTACGCCTCTACTAATGTCAAATTCAGGCCCTGTTTTATCTAGTATTACTCTACTTTTGCTGTTTTTGTATATATCTTGTATGAGTTCTATGGTTGCTGATGGTACTTCGCATTCTTCTAAAGCTCTCCATATACTGTTGTGGGAAATGGAGTCGAAAGCTTTGGCATAGTCTATAAACGCTAGGTAGAGCGGGCGGTTCATTTCCTCGAACTTCTCTATCACTAGCTCTAGAGAGTGGATGTGATCTACTGTTGAGTAGTTTCTTCTGAAGCCAGCTTGCTCAACCGGCTGATTTCTTTCTGTATACATTGCGAGACGCTCCTCCAAGCACGAAGCAAAAAGCTTGTACAGATTTGATTGTAAGCTAATAGGTCTGTATTAATTGCCAATATCCATGGGGTTTCCCTTTTTTTTTTTTTTTTTTTTTTTAATTCTAAAACACATTAATATAGATTAATTTAATTTTTCATTCCAAATAAGTATCTAATATATAAATACGCTTACACTGACATATGTTTCGAATGTAATCACATGACACCATACCCATTTTTCTTAACATTTTTCATTCTTTGATTTAAGTTTGTACTTGGAACTTTAGATGATTAAAATATTAATTACTAATAATACCGACTTCCGTAAACCGACCATTGCTTCAACAGAAAATTTATGCAAATTGTATGAAATAAGCTATTCATACCTATATTTAATATGTCATCTTACCTTAAAAGGTATTTCTATTATAGGTAAGTTATTTTTGCCCTTCATGTAAAAATATTGTATTAAACATGTGAAATAACTTAGTGGAAATGGACGGTCCATTTGCACTACTTTGATCACTCCTAATGTCACGCTGTTTTACTATTTTTCAGATATTAAAACGAAAAAGTATTGGTTGCTTAATGTAAAGTATAAATATATTTTAATTAAACATTTGTAAATAGTTCATTAAAACAATGTAGTGTATAAGGAATTAATGTAATATTTCCTTGGAAAAGTCTTGAAATGATAATAATATTACTTAAAATTTAAAATAGCGATTTAAAAACTGTTTAATAATTGATACCAATGCAACAGCTGTCGGTTGTTATTACATTACGGTAGCATTACGGTCGGTAGCAACGTCGGTACATCGTAATATTAAAATGTATGGCGAAGCAGATAAAACCTCATTAGTCAAATTAATTTAGCCTCTTATTGTTTACTGAATAAATATTACAAAGTTTATAATAACTAAGGCAAATGAAACTATTTACATCGGAACACGTTCGATATTTTATGTAGGTATGTTTTATAAATCATAATATTGCAGGTTTGACGAAGACTTAAGAACAATATCCCCTTGGGCAACTAGTTCGTGGAGTCACACTGATCTGCCTCGACTTAAGCAAGGCAGAGTTGCTGCTCAGGTAACTGCACTTTGGTACTTGTAGGCTTTTTCCCAACTATAAATTGTGATAAATACGTGAATCACAGTTTCATTTGCTCTTTGAATAAATTATAACAAGAAGCTATATAGTTTTGAATTTGTATCAGATTTTAAATTTAAAATCAAACTGGCGACGACAGGTTCGAAAATAAAATTGATTGAGATATTATTTTGCTTACATGGTTTCCAAAAATACCACTTAGTATACATGTTTTGAGTTATAAAGCTTTGCATTTCTGTTTCTGACATGATGTATTGAATTGTTTTCTTTTTCTCTATTCTTTATTTTCTATATTTTTATTATTCCCAATAATAATGCCTATCTAATACTACGTTTTTTCCTTTGAAAATTTGATACCCTCTACAAAAATATTAAAAAGGAAGATACATTATTTAAATTTTAAATAGTTTCCTTGTTTGAGCAAGATACATTCGCAAGATAGCAAACAGACGTTTGAGCGGATATTTGCATTTCGCGATCAACAAAGGACACCGCATAAGCCGCAATAAAACATAAAAGCAAACTTATGCATTAGAACATTCAATGTTTTATTCGCGCGAACAATACAAATAAATTTATAATAGTTTTAGCAAAATTATAATTTATCTTTATCTTAGAAACTCACTTAATCATAGAAACTAAACAAGCTTCATTGGTTATAGAGACCGCGAATTTATCAACGATTTTACTGAATAGCTAAAATATTCAAATTAATCACAAATCACACGCTTGTTACTTTGACTGAGTGTCGTGTCGACAACGTAGTGCACCTATTTGATATTTGGGTAATGGGTAATGAGGCGTAAACGATCATGGAACTATTATCAACAAATCAATAGAAATGGTCAGAGTGAGGCTTACACTGTAAGCATACCTAATAAACTATGGGTGCACTCATGGCCAATATTTAAACTATGAGATCTGCAAAATGTGCAAATATTGTCTTGTTCATTTGTTTTAAAGGGCAAAACAAAAAGCATTCACTTGCCAACCAGAGTTAACTCACGTTTCCTATTACATACGTGTCGCTGCATTCGCTAAAAGCGAATTTCATATTCCGAGTGCGGGGCGACGCGGCTCGTGCGTGCTATTTAATCATGTGTACGTCAAAGCAATGTTCTGACATTAGTTCTGGGCGGCGTACGTTCCCTGCGACGCGCAGCACCGCGATGCCGTTCAGCTAACTTTCGAGCAAATAGACCTAATCCAGAGGCTCACCGACAAATATCACCCGCAGCTCACGCTCTGTACCTCCGCTGATGGTAAGTTTAGTTTTATACGACTGCTTATCTTTCAGTATTACCGACAGCTCAATTTGGCTTCTTTATAGGTTTCCTTTTTTTATATTTGTCACCTCCGTCATTTATGAAGCGATTTCAAATATTTAATTTTCATTTGGTTTTGGTTAAGCTATTTATTTTAAGTTATTTTATTTGGTACCATGTAAATTTCATTGGTATTTGACCTTGGACTCTGGTGACATATTAGTGAGCACATCAATATCAAATAGAAAATTTATAGTGAGTGAGATATTTTAAGTCAGTTTAGTTATTTTGTTATTAAAAATGTTTTACTTGTTTACTTTGGGTCCGGATGTAAGTACATACATACATTTGCTGAAATTTCAGAGTTTATTTATTAATTTATAATACATTTTAAAGTGTATCATTTAAAGTAAAGGGTTATAGAATAAGATATAGAATAGATAATAATATTCTCACAATAGAAAGTGTTTTATCATATTGTTTCCTTAAAGATTTTATATGGCTTGAGTAGTTTGGAGCAGAGGTTCACATTAATTTCAAAATGTTTGGTTCTCGTATGGTAGTGTACTTTATGCTTTTCTCGAACTATCCCCTTTTAGTTTATGGTGTAGAATTAAGTAAGAGTAAGAAGCAATAATTACTCATCATGCGTCGAAATAGTAAATAGAAGTTACTGGGAACAAGCAAATGTAATTTAATTATTACTATATGCAAATATTTAAAAAAATATCTTCTCAATTACGAAGGCTAACGCGATAGGTTTGAGATTTTCATAAAGTTTCCCGCTAGACCATGTTTTCTTTTTACACTCTTGTCTACCACTTGCAAGTTAATTTAAAAGCAAAAGCAATTTCAAAAGTAATCTTCTCTGCGAATAAATTTAATACTTAGCGAGTAATGTCTACATTTCTTTTCGATAAATTTGAATATTACATCGCTTAGAAAATGTGTTCAATAAAATGTACAATTATAACTTATTTTCTTTGGTTTTTAATAACTTTATATAACAATTAAGAAATGAAGATTCATATGAATACTCGTACACGGGTTGATATTAGACGGATCGATTTCTTTAAGTTCTTTTTATTTTAAATAAAAATTACGCAAGTGAGCAGGCGAGTTAATTGATTACAACCGCTCTCCGTACTTACCTTACGGTACCTAAAGGATTGCGAATGCATAGCCAAGCAGAAACGCTTAAGTATAATACTTCTACTTCACGCTGATCTTCTGTGAGGCCTTGTTACGTCCTAGGATGAGCATATCCATTCGTACAACAGTAGAAGCCGCTTTTGTATCTTTTTTACGCGAAATTTCTTAACACTTTTTTTGGCACTAAAACAATGAGAAACGCTGACATTGACATGATTTTATTAGCTTGAGCCGTATGCATGTACTTTTGCTTTTGCATGTACTTTACATGAACTAAATACTAGAAATAAGGACAAACTAACTACGCTATTGTTTCGTCTACAAAAAGTAAACAGGTCGTTCATGGGGCAAAGTGTGCGCATGTATAATAAAATCCCACAGTCGATATTAAGTCTGCCACTTGATGAATTTAAACGAAAAATTAAAAGTTAACTTATGGCTAAAGCCTGTTATACTATTGCCGAATATCTTGACGACGCCAATGTGTGGGGTTATATCCTATTATATTGTAAACTAATCGTTTTAAAGAAAGAGCAACTGTTGAGTTTCTTGCCTGTTTCTTCTCAACAGAAACTGCTTTCCGAACCGGTGGTAACTTACGAACGTGTTAATTTCTTTGTAAAATTTTGACGTTTCATAAGAACGCGCAAGCGTCGACAATTTTAGTTTTTATAAAAAAAAAGTGTAAATTGAGACTGATTAACTAATACTAAAGACACTTACTTGATGTTACTTTTTAATGAAATCATATTCAAACTTTTTTATTATATTTTACTTATATTTTATTAACAATTGGTCCGGTTCTACCGGGGTAGTAGTACCACTTTCGCACAATGAAAAATTCATAATTATTTTATTATATATACTTTAATTTTCGAAAATATGCAGGTTTCAGAAGTATCGTATCACGCCTTTTGTGGATTTCAATGGACGGTTAACATTTAGCAAGTTTGTTTGTCGCTGTATGTATATAATCTTTTTATTACATGTTTGTATTTTATAGTCGTATCGTATGACATTTTCATGAACCTTGATACCGTACACAAGCCAACATACCAAAAACTATAACATAAAATAAGTATACGTGCTTATATAATACTTTGTATTCAATTTTATTAATATTTTAAGTTGAATTGACGTTTAATTCAATGTTTATAGTTGTATAAAATCCCGGACAAAATCAATTTACCCATGTTTTTTCACCAGCATATAGTTAACAATTTGTTTTATATTCCAAAAACTTTGTTAAGGAAAAGAAAAGGCTCCGTAATTGTTATGCACATCATGAACAAGCCTTTATTCTTTTTAGCAAATTCCTCGCCCACCCTGAGTGTTAAGTTAAACTCCTTGAATATTCAATCCGAAATAAAAATAAAAGTGAATTCATTCTCCAATAAATTAAGAAAGATTTTAGTACCCTACTATCGTAAAAATTTACTTTTATTTAATCAACGACCAGTGTCAAAATACTGATGTATAGGTAAATGAAAATAAAGACCCAAGCGGTGAATATGGACCGGCCGATCAGAACCTCTTCTACCGCCTAGTAATTATTTCACATAATAGTTAACTGGCCAATTCTAGCGGACACGTTGCTTAATTAGAAATCATACGAGGACTCCAAAGTTATTTGATTTAGCTTCAGACCTTATTTCGAATGGTATGTTCTTAACGATTCGTAGCTTACTTTTTTCATTTGATTTTACTTTTGCGTTTTCTTTTCTTTCCATCACCCAGGTCATATCATAATGGCTTAAATAGGCTAGTCTGTGCGTACATCATCATCATCATCATTTCAGCCTGTTTGAGTCCACTGCTGAACATAGGTCTCCCCTACAAACTGCCACGAAGCACGATACTGAGCGACATGCTGGATGCATGTGGCCCAGTATCGTGCATCGACATTCTGCATATTTGTACAAGTCGTCACTGTGCATTCACCAAATTTTAATCATTCGTATAATAAAACATATCATTTTGGTAAATATGGATAATGAATTATTAATAAGTCAAGAGTACTAAAATTAGAATATTTACAGACATATTGACCGCGCACACAAACCATCGTCTGTGTTCGCTGGTAGGGGTCGAAGGTGGTCATGCAATAGGAGGATCACTCGGTGTCTTGAGGACCCTATATCAAGTTGGCGTGCGTTATCTGACTCTAACGTCTACATGCGACACTCCTTGGGCAGAATGTGCGTCAACTGACCGGATTGATTCCTCTCAACGCGGTGGACTGACACCTTTTGGCAAAGTAAGTAATAAAACGTAACCTTTATACTTATAAGATGTAAAAACTTTAAAAAGTTGTCAGTTTATGTAATAACTAGCGACCAGGCGGCTTCGCACGGGTTCAATGTATTATACCTATAAACCTTACTCTTGAATCACTCTATCGAGTAAAAAACCGAATCAAGATCCGTTGCGTAGTTTTAAAGATCTAAGCATACATAGGGACAGACAGACAGACAGGGGGACGACTTTGATTTATACTATGTAGTGATAGTATTGAATTTAAGTTCTATTCCTATATCCTAGGTTTTTAATCTTAGGTACAGTAATTAAAACATTAAAAATATCATAATAAGACCTATCATTTAAAATTTAATTAGTAACATCCTTATATATTTAAGTAGAAATACCTGGAGGACCGAGCTTTGCTCGGTTTTTTTTTTTTTGGTAAATTGTGTATTTTGGAAATTACATTTAGATACAAATTACTGAGTAATGAACAAAATCATCTGGGTCGACAAAAAATAAAAAATAAAGAAAGCAATGATCTGGAATCGAAATAAAAGTAAAAAAAAAGTACGGAGCTATTATAACATTTTTTTTTTTCGGTGAAATTTACCGTCGTATTCGAGTGATATTTTTCATTCTCCGAAAACAGGGATAAAACATTTTCTAAAAATGAAACCTAGCCACATCGATTTCGGTCCCGAATCTACGCACATACTAAATTTCATGAAAATCGCTGGAGCCGTTTCCGAGATTCCGATTATATATTTATACAAGAATTGCTCGTTTAAAGGCTGAGAAGTTTATCAATGTTGCTATTTTATTTATTTAAGAAAGTTAACTTCACTGCCACAGCGACGGGTGGCATTAAACCGGCTCGTTTCGATTTCAAATGACATCTTAAAAATATATTTTGCAATCATAAGTACATTAGGACAAGTACAAGGGTGTAATAAAGCCATGTAATAGACGAAGAAATATTGAAGTCGGTACTAAAAACAAAACCGTAAAGATTGAGACGTGAAGCAAAGCGAGTGTGCTATAATCATAAACATCCTGTGCCACCCAAATATTTGGCTTTGTATGAACTCAGACTGACTGACTGGAAAGCCTTGCAGCTCTTTGTTTTACGTGCAGCGAAACTTTTCAAAACATTTCTTTTTCTTTTGTTAGAGGTACTCACTGTTATATAGGAGCCGTGATAGCTCAGTGTCCTAGTGCTCGCCTTTAATTTAATATACTCGAGCAACCTGAGTTCGATCCCCGGTGCCAGCGCCAATGAAATTTTCAATTTTAAGTGCTGAATTACCACGTACTCAGCGGGGAAGGAAAACATCTTGAGGAAACCTGCATATTTTCGAAATAATAACAAAAAAAGCCATTTCGAAGATATGTGAACTGCGCCAATCCGATACCCTCAGAACAGAGGAGGCCTTTGCCCAGCAGTGGGACATGTATAGGCTAACATATATACTTACTATAATATATATATATATATATATATATAATATAACATTATATTTCGAGCAGCTTTATACACCGCTTTAAGTAAAAATCTTTAATGACTTAAAGTTTAAACACACTATTCATGAAATTCATGCAATACTCAACAAGGCAGATAATAAATTATAAAGTTTTCATTAGAGTAATTAAAGGCATTATCGTTGTATTCATGATTTAATGACTTTCACTTCACATTAACTTTAGACAAAAGCCTTCTCGGTAAAGTTGGAATTTAATACGGAACATACCAGCGTCTCTTTCAGTTCGCTAGCATAATACCGATTTAAAACAACATTCAAACAAGGTGTTTGCCGTGTCTCTTGGTTAAATAATTCTCATTTCACACTCAGGAGCTCTTAAAGCAGTAAGCACTAGTATAAGTTAATTGTTTGCTTAATTTATCTCACGCATGCAGCATAATTTTGAGTCGGCTTTTTATGTTATAAGAAGGAAACAAACTGCTGTATGTTGCTGTATTTTTAATTTAGATTTCCGAGAATTAATTAGAAACTATGACAAAAAAATTTTTATCAATGGCTTTATTTTAAATAGATATCAGTAATGATGTTCATTCGAATTCTTCGTATCTTGCCTCTCTACATAATCATAAATAACATAAATTGTAAAAAAACAGTTGTTGTTGCCAAAAGATAACAAGCCGGGTTCTCACCATCCATGAAGCACAAGGACTAACATACGGGTCAGTCGGTGTCATGCGTACAAAAGTGAGCAAGCTACAGCTGCACGACAGCGTTCAGCATGCCGTAGTGGCGGTATCGCAGCACACGGTCAGCTGTGTTTACTACACAGACGACTGTGACGACGCAGCAGGCCGCCTTATGAAAAAAAAAAAATGCCATGGCGGCATCAACCTGCAAGATAAAAGACTACAACCTTAAAATGACAATTAGGAACAGAGACGCAGCGGTCGCAGAGAGACTAGCAAAAAAATAACACCTATTACCAAATAACCTGCGACGACGAGATCTCCGTCCCTTCTCCCTACAACAAAAACTGTGCAGATCAAATATATATATATATATATATATATATATTTTAATTATTTTATATGTATGTATAATAATAATAAAAAAATATATATATATAAATATGAACTCACTGCTGCACCGCTACCAGCCCGGTTGATGTACGCGGCGGTGACAGCCCAAAAAGAAAATTAAAAAAAAAACATGTTAACCAAAAAAAAAAGAGTACGGACCACGAGTCTGTAGTTACTTTGTTAAAAAAAAAAAAAAAAAGGTAACAAGCGGCTAAGCGCTATGATAATCTTGCCTAAAACATTGTATGTACTTTACTATTTTTTCTTGTAGTTATTATGGTCATTGTTTCAATTTTATTATTTATTATTTAATATTCAAACAAATAGAGCAGATTGTTTTTTATAAATAATTTTACAATCTCCTCTACTAATATAAGTACATATACGTATATACATATACTATATATGTATGCTTACACTTAAATAATGTAAAGTAAAGTAAAGTAACAGCCTATACATGTCCCACTGCTGGGCAAAGGCCTCTATACAGAGGGTATCAGGACATAGTCCACCACGCGGCCCCACTGCGGATTGGCGGACTTCACACATCTTCGAAATATATATTTTTTTATGTTATTATTTCGAAAATATGCAGGTTTCCTCACGATGTTTTCCTTCTCCGCGGAGCACGTGATAAATCAACACTTAAAGTTAAAAACTTCATTGGTGCCGGCACCGGGGATCGAACTCAGGTTGCTCGAGTATATTGAATTAAAGGCGAGCGCCCGGACACTGAGCCATCACGGCTCAAATAATGTAATAAATGGCTTAAATAATGTAATTTTATGTAATTTTATTCATTGTACTCGTTTAATAGAAGCGAGATATTTTAATAGAAGTTTACTCCTAACATAAAAAGTATTTTAATAAAAATCAGAGCTTCTACTTTCCAAGACATCTTCCGCAAGGATACGAACCAAACTTTTCGAACTTCACTTCATTACATTATCTTACTCGTGCTACGTTCAAAAATCAGAGTGTTTTTTAAAACACATACTAAGACTGTATGTGTTTTATATCTGATCTTTATCTCTCGATCTCTCTTTATATCTCTATATCTGATTATTACTATACTTAGTTCTACAAGTTGCTTGTTAAAATTCCTTGTTGACCATAACGGATCATATAGCAAATGTAAGTAATATTTTTGTACTAAGCTTATTATAGTCGGCTGTGTAGTTTCTGAGCAACATTAGATCAGAGGACAAGCATAAAATAATTTATTAGTTCTGCATACTCGCAGTTCTGACGGTCTGAACATAACGTTTTTTTAATTTTTTTTTTACTTGAGAATTTGGCAAGCGAGCTGTTAACCTGATGTTAAGTGATAATATGAACATTTGCAACACCCTTAGGGTTTCAGATGCGTTGCCACCTTATAATAAAGTTGGTCCCGGCTACCTCACTCACCAGACGAACCTGTTCATTCGTGCAACAGCCGAAGCTGTTGCATTACCCTACTAACAGTTGAATAGTGTTTACTGAGAAGGCAGATTTAACATTATTACATTTTATTTGGTCTCGTTGAATCCTAAAGTTGGAACGTTTTATCTGAATGAAAGAAGAACTGTTCAGAATAGCTAAGTCGAAAAGAAGTAATCAAACATGAAGGTTTTATTCGGTTCACCTGATGCTAAGTGAACACCGCCGGTCATGGGCATCTACTACACCCGAGGGTTGCAGATGCGTGGACATCCTTTTGAAATCGGGCTCCGGCTACCTCACTCACCAGACGAAACGCGAAAGTATTATATTTCCACTTTACGCCGGTCTTCTGTGTGGTTGTGGTATTTACCCAGACGAGCCTGCCCATTCATGCAACAGCCGAGGCTGTTGCGTGGCCCAACCACAGTAAATATGTGCTTACCTTTCCTCATTAGATTCAAAAGATCTAATCTTTCTCATTATTTTTGTTGCCTTATTGTTCACAGACTCCTCTTTGTTCGAGGCATTTTTGTAATAAATGCCAAAAGATAAACACCTAATCCATTATTTTTTGTAAGGCAAATAGAATTGTTTAGAAAATACTAAAAAAAAGAAGTTTCTTGATTACAAAAAATATATTATACAAAAAATATACTATAAAATATGTGAATCAATGAAATAACCGAGACAATTTCCAAACCATAAAACAAAATCAGTATATCCAAATATACCAGCCTAGGCTAATCAAGTTTTAGTTCACTATTCCAACAAAATCGCAAAGCAAAATCAAGAGTATCCGTATTTGGTATACGGAAAAGCAAATTCGTACCTATTATATGCAAATGGCCAGAGCTTCGTTATAAACGTAGCTATGAGGCATATTATATCCGTAACCTATCTAAGGTAGGTTTTAATTCTATCAGTTGAAGAATTTCTTAAGTCTGTTGTTAACGCCTTAACGCCTTTTTATTTTTAAATTCAAGTAATTATAGTAAAAGTTTTAGCGACAGACAGACAGGCAGACAGACAGAAATTTCAAATAC